TTTCTTTCTTTTGTTTCTTTCTTGCTTGCTTTCTTGCTTGCTTGCTTTCGTGCTTTCTTGTTTTCTCGATTTCTTTCTTTCTTTTGTTTCTTTCCTGCTTGCTTTCTTGCTTGATTGCTTTCGTGCTTTCTTGCTTTCTTGTTTTCTTTCTTTCTTTTGTTTCTTTCTTTCTTGCTTCCTTGTTTTCTTGCTTTCTTGCTTGCTTGCTTTCGTGCTTTCTTGTTTTCTTGCTTTCTTTCTTTTGTTTCTTTCTTGCTTGCTTTCTTGCTTCCTTGTTTTCTTGCTTTCTTGCTTGCTTGCTTTCGTGCTTTCTTTCTTGCTTTCTTTTCTTTCTTTCTTTTCTTTTTCTTTCTTTCTTGCTTTCTTTTCTTTCATTCATTCATTCTTTCTTTCTTTCCTTTCTTTCTTTCTTTCTTTCTATCTTTCTTTCTTTCTTTCTTTCTTTCTTTCTTTCTTTCTTTCTGTTTCGTCCTTTTGAGACAGAGTTTCACTCTTGTTTCCACGGCTAGAGTGCAATGGCGCGATCTTGGCTCACCGCACCTTCCGCCTCCCGGGTTCGAGCGCTTCTCCTGCCTCAGCCTCCCGATTAGCGGGGATTACAGGGAGGCACCCCCACGCCTGGCTTGGCTGATGTTTGTGTTTTTAGTAGGCACGCCGTGTCTCTCCATGTTGCTCAGGCTGGTCTCCAACTCCCGACCTCCTGTGATGCGCCCACCTCGGCCTCTCGAAGTGCTGGGATGACGGGCGTGAGCCACCGTGCCCGGCCTGTTGACTCATTTCGCTTTTTTATTTCTTTCGTTTCCACGCGTTTACTTATATGTATTAATGTAAACGTTTCTGTACGCTTATATGCAAACAACGACAACGTGTATCTCTGCATTGAATACTCTTGCGTATGGTAAATACGTATCGGTTGTATGGAAATAGACTTCTGTATGATAGATGTAGGTGTTTGTGTTATACAAATAAATACACATCGCTCTATAAAGAAGGGATCGTCGATAAAGACGTTTATTTTACGTATGAAAAGCGTCGTATTTATGTGTGTAAATGAACGAGCGTACGTAGTTATCTCTGTTTTCTTTCTTCCTCTCCTTCGTGTTTTTCTTCCTTCCTTTCTTCCTTTCTCTCCTTCTTTAGGTTTTTCTTCCTCTCTTCCTTTCCTTCTTTCTCTCTTTCTGTCCTTTTTTCCTTCGTGCTTTATTTCTCTTTCGTTCCCTGTGTTTCCTTCTTTTTTCTTTCCTCTCTGTTTCTTTTTCCCTTCTTTCCTTCGTTTCTTTCCTCATTCTTTCTCTCTTTTTCGTGTTTCTTTCCTTTCCGTCTGTCTTTTAAAAAATGGAGTGTTTCAGAAGTTTACTTTGTGTATCTACGTTTTCTAAATTGTCTCTCTTTTCTCCATTTTCTTCCTCCCTCCCTCCCTCCCTCCCTCCCTGCTCCCTTCCCTCCCTCCTTCCCTTTCGCCATCTGTCTCTTTTCCCCACTCCCCTCCCCCCGTCTGTCTCTGCGTGGATTCCGGAAGAGCCTACGCATTCTGCCTCTCCGTGTGTCTGCAGCGACCCGCGACCGAGTCCTTGTGTGTTCTTTCTCCCTCCCTCCCTCCCTCCCTCCCTCCCTCCCTCCCTGCTTCCGAGAGGCATCTCCAAACACCCACGCGCCGTGGGTTGTCTTCTGACTCTGTCGCGGTCGAGGCAGAGACGCGTTTTGGGCACCGTTTGTGTGGGGTTGGGGCAGAGGGGCTGCGTTTTCGGCCTCGGGAAGAGCTTCTCGACTCACGGTTTCGCTTTCGCGGTCCACGGGCCGCCCTGCCAGCCGGATCTGTCTCGCTGACGTCCGCGGCGGTTGTCGGGCTCCATCTGGCGGCCGCTTTGAGATCGTGCTCTCGGCTTCCGGAGCTGCGGTGGCAGCTGCCGAGGGAGGGGACCGTCCCCGCTGTGAGCTAGGCAGAGCTCCGGAAAGCCCGCGGTCGTCAGCCCGGCTGGCCCGGTGGCGCCAGAGCTGTGGCGCGTCGCTTGTGAGTCACAGCTCTGGCGTGCAGGTTTATGTGGGGGAGAGGCTGTCGCTGCGCTTCTGGGCCCGCGGCGGGCGTGGGGCTGCCCGGGCCGGTCGACCAGCGCGCCGTAGCTCCCGAGGCCCGAGCCGCGACCCGCGGGGACCCGCCGCGCGTGGCGCGGGAGGCTGGGGACGCCCTTCCCGGCCCGGTCGCGGGTCCGCGCTCATCCTGGCCGTCTGAGGCGGCGGCCGAATTCGTTTCCGAGTCCCCGTGGGGAGCCGGGGACCGTCCCGCCCCCGTCCCCCGGGTGCCGGGGAGCGGTCCCTCTGCCGCGATCCTTTCTGGCGAGTCCCCGTGCGGAGTCGGAGAGCGCTCCCTGAGCGCGCGTGCGGCCCGAGAGGTCGCGCCTGGCCGGCCTTCGGTCCCTCGTGTGTCCCGGTCGTAGGAGGGGCCGGCCGAAAATGCTTCCGGCTCCCGCTCTGGAGACACGGGCCGGCCCCCTGCGTGTGGCACGGGCGGCCGGGAGGGCGTCCCCGGCCCGGCGCTGCTCCCGCGTGTGTCCTGGGGTTGACCAGAGGGCCCCGGGCGCTCCGTGTGTGGCTGCGATGGTGGCGTTTTTGGGGACAGGTGTCCGTGTCGCGCGTCGCCTGGGCCGGCGGCGTGGTCGGTGACGCGACCTCCCGGCCCCGGGGGAGGTATATCTTTCGCTCCGAGTCGGCATTTTGGGCCGCCGGGTTATTGCT